TCGTCCCGAACCCGAAATAAACGGCCATACCGGTCCCGAGTTTGAAATAGGCGACTAAAATGGTCCCAAACCTGTCAATAAATCGCACTGATGTCTCCGCAACCGAAATAAACTGCCGTAGCGGTTCCCGATACGAAAACATACCACAGCGAAGGCCCAAACCTGAAATAAAGTGCCCCGATGCCGCCGAGCCTGTAATATCCCGCTGAGGTTGCTCCGAACCTGATATTGAGCCGTGCCGATGTATCCGAACCGGAGAATAATCCACCGCTGTAGTCGTATACCTGAAAGGAAGTCATCACAGTGGCCCCAAGCCTGATCACCCTGCCGCCGAGCCCATACTGAACCAGTCACACGCCGGATACTGTAGAATGTACCCACTCCGTAATAATACCGATTCTCTCCGAGCCACGCACCCGTACCAAGCCAAATACCAAACTGTCAGCCCAAACCACTCTGTAAGGTCTCATCCATCTGTTGGCGAGTTTTTCGGTCTAGGTCCTTTCCAGTGCTGTGTCGTAGAGAAGGACCATATCTCCTACGCTCACCCTCTCTTTCCTGATTCTCACGTTCTTATCCCATCTCTCTTTACCTTTGTCTCTTTCTATTGCCAGACGATCTGCCGCCTTCATAAGGTTATCTTCCAAACCGTAGGCTATCTGTCTTGTTCGGGCAGCTATGAGTTCGTCTTTGGACATCTCCTCCGCCCAGTCGACGGTTGTCCAGCTGTCGACGTGAAACTCTAACGGGAGCAGACAATGCCGCCCAAACCACAAGGTGTACGGTAGGTATCCGGTACTGGCCCGGACCGTAATGTTGTCCGCCCATATTGCGTATCGAAAATATCGTGGTCAATCACTATCCTTACCATTGCACCACTTGGACAGTGACGCTATCAGAGTCTGGTGACCCCTCTCTACTGGGGAGTTCGACTGTGGGTGATAGACGGTGGCTATCGAAACTCTCGCCCCGGCTCTCTTGAACACACTCTGAACCTCGTCAGCTAAGAACTCCGCCCCTCTGTCCATCACTATCTTGCTGACATAACCATACCTGGATAAGTACTCCAGGACGAAGTTCTTCACTTCCTTTGCCGTCTTACTCCTGATAGGTCTACCGTCCACGAACCCAATGAAATGGTCACGTATGTTCACGACGTAGTTCATATTGCCTACTCCTTTCGGCATCTTCACCAGATCGATGTGTACCTTCTCTCCTTGTCTGGTGGGATAGGATGGATGGAGAGGCTCTTTGTATTTCACAAGAGCTCTCTTCTGGCATTCCTCGCAGGTCATACAGTACCTCTCGACGTCCTTATACTGTCCTTCCCACCAGTACATCTGCGTACCTTTTCGTAGGTTCCTTTGACTCCCCTGTGTCCTCCGAATACCCCGTCGTGAAGCTCCGCAACTATCGTCTGTCTCTCCTCAGGATCACAGACTACTCGTAAGGGCATCCCCGAGCCGACCGGCCTTCGAAATAGATGGCCGGCTCTGAGGCAGTACTGCGCCGCTTGTCTCCGGATATCTTATACTTGACTCTCCTCTCCTGACAGGTGTAGCCCGATCGTTCGGTACTTGCCCTCGTAAAGGTTAACCAGAAATCATTCGGCGCGTCTCGGCTCTGCCAATGTCAGGGCCCCAGCTACTATCGGGCGCTCGGCCTCAAGAGGGATGCGCGAAAGCCCATCTGCCACGGCATTTTTAGTGCCAGATATCCTCTCAACTGCGTAATCATATAGCCGAATCTGTATCAGCCATCGAGCAATGGTCGGGTCCGTCAGGCTAAAGTCCTTCTGGAGGACAGAGGCAACCGCTGTGGGATCTACTCTCAAGATGAACCGACGCCCATAGATATAGTGTCTAAATGTTCCCAGACACCGCAAAACGGCTAACACTTCCCTCTTGAATTGACTGTAGTTTCGTTCTGCCGTATTAAGTGTCCTACTCTGAAATCTTAACGACCTTTCCTTCCCTTCTGTGTCTTTCTGAGACAGCAACCCTCCAACTGAACAAGATCCAGCATCCGTGGATACTATGAAGGGTCTCTCGGTCTCATCGTCAAAGAATGGCATGCCCAATACGCGTCCTCCCTCCTTAAATTCGTCTTTAAGCTCTTGCATAGCGAGTTCCTGCGAGGAATCCCAGTATAATTTTTTAGTCTTTCGAAGGAGTAACCTCAATGACTCAGCCTTCTCCGCATACCCCTGTATGAATATGCGTCAATAACTGACCACTCCCAGAAACTGTCGGACCTCGATTGGACTATGTAACGGTGACGGTTAGTTTAGGAGTTTGTCTAACTTCGCCGGATCTGCTCGGCGTCCTCTCGAGTCACAGATAAAGCCCAAGATCTTAATAGTCGAGACGGCCCATCGGCTCTTTGTTCCGCTGACCATTTAATTCGCATCGTCCAGCTGCTCAGGTACCGCGCAAATATCTGTTAGGCGCTGCTCGACGAATCTTCTTACTCCTGGTGCAACCTTTGTCTCATCCTTGTTTACTGACCCTTTTATAGGAAAGTCATCCAAAAAAACTTCAACCTTATCAGGGATGAAGTTCTTGAGGACGGCTACCATGACTCTCTGAAAAACGGCTACCCCATTAGTCCAACCCATAGGGACAACCATCATCTGTATCAGTCCCAATGGCGTGTGCATAGCCGTGAGGTGCCTATCCCTAGGATCAAGCGGTACCTCATCATAGCCTGAGAACAGATCGCAGACCGAATAAATCGACCTGCCTGCGGCGCCTTCGACCAGTAAGTCGGCGTGTGGCACGGAGCCCAAGTCTCGTATCGTCACCGCGTTGACCTTCTGAAGGTCCTGGATCCATCGGATTTTGCCATTCGGTTTCCGTAGGAAGAACCATCGATTAGCATAGGCACTATCTGACGGCTCCGCAACATGGGAAACCATCTTTTCTTTCAGGAAAGCGATAACTTCTTCCTTCTCCTTCTGGGCGTATTTCCATCCTGCGTCATTCCAAGGAACATGTGGAATCGTGTAAATCCTTGCTGGCTTAGCGTATCGAGGATCAACCCTACCGCGCTCTGCGTTGCTGAAAGCTATTGCCTTATCACATGTCTTCAGGATTTCTATCACACGTTCTCGCTCCTGTGGGGTCACATTTCCATCCCCGATGTCCATCCCTGCTATCCTCTCTTCAGTTAGGCGTTGCGGCTCCTTTTTCTTCCTTTCTTTGATTTCTTTTGCGATCTCTTCTTCCGATATCCCTTCCAGTGCTGATCGCTCGCGACTCACCGCCGCTGGCTTAACTTTTTGTGCTACTCGCTTATGTCGCTTGGGTAGCCCCCCATAGGGGGCCGTGCCCTTAAAAAAGACACAGATACCACCCCGCCAAATTCCTCATCTGTCTCCTTTGGGTACGAGTTGCCGTCCACTATCAGCCGACTCCCTAAATCTTCCACCTCCACGATCCGACCTTCTTCCTCTGTGAGCAGGAGTCCGTACTTCTTCTCGCGAAATCGCACCGCGCGGGCGGAGATAGGTAATGACTTAATCTGATCACTGGGTCTTGCACCCACAGTGAGAGCTGCTCTGTTCCTCGGGTCCCGAGGCTCCACTGTCTCAATCATAACCCGCGTCCTATCTAGCTTCTTAATGGACAATGTGTGGTTCCCATCCGGTCACTCTATCGTCACCGCATGCACGTGGCTCAACCACGTTCGTCCCAAGAGCAAATCAGAGCTGCAGTTCTTGACTGCAAAGACCGACAGGGTCACTCGTACGCCTTGGACCTCTATGGATGCCTTGTGACAAACTCCGGTGAACTGTTGCTTTCTCTCATCAGCCGTCTCTATCTCGAATAGGTATGACCTATCGAGGCCCAGTCCAACCTGTACTGCCAAATCCCTGTCTATAATGACAGCCTCACTGTCGTTATCGATCACAGCATCTAGTACCGCTCCATCGTTTATGATCGTCTCCACGGCCCCACTACCAAGTGAAACAGAGTTCCCTCCGTATCACCGTCTACTGCCCTTCCATTGCTTGATCATCGCCCCTTGGCGAGCACTCGCCCCCTACTGGCCACAACCCCAGTGTTCCGAGTGCCTGCAAGACCACGCCTACCGAGCATCAGGATTCATCCGGGCGAACCCGCTTGGAAACCGAACAACAGCCACGTCTGATTCTGAGATCTGTGAAACTCTCCGACGACGGGTGTTGTACCAGCGGGACAGCCATAGCATCCCGCAGGTGCACAGAATACGAATTAGCCCCGGGCGACGGGACCAACGGAGGTAACTGCTCCGTTCCGCGAGGCCTAAAACGGAATCTCGTCCTTAGTCACAATCTCTGTAACCTGTCTTGTCAATCCCTTTACCATGTCTCTTATCTCCTTCACTTCCTCGGCGACGGCTTCATTTTTCTCCGACCAAGGATGGTCTTTGAAATCAGGACATCTATCGGTGACATACTCCTTGTAGAGAGAAAAGTCACGTCTCCTCATCCCTCTGCACACCAAGTCCTTGTAGTCGTCTGCCTCTGCCTTTGTCGCGAGCTTTAGAACTTCTGGGAAGTCAAGCTTGTCACGCGGAAGATCTCTAAGTAGACTCTTTTGTCTACATTTGGACAGGTGTCCGATGAAGATAGTACAGCGCTCGACCTCTGAGATCTTCCCCTTCTTCATCAGCACGTCGGAGATCTTCTGGAAACGCATCCCAAATGCCCGTACGCTCTCATCTTCATCTTGAGTCATCGTCTCAAGGTCCTTGATGGAGTACTTGTTATTCTCCAATTTGTAAAGCTCAACAAGGTTCTTCTTGTACGTAGTCCATTTCCCATCCTTCGGTTGAGCTTCCTTAACTTCCTTACCGAGACTTGGGTCCACATTAAATAAGAAATTCTCTATAATCTCTTCTTCCGACCACTGACTCCGGCTAGCGTGAAGCTCCCACTTCTCCAGATATTCTGTAATGCCATAGCCCCTGAAAGTAGGAGGCTCTGAGGTCTTGTGCGGAATAATATAGCGATCCTTGCTCTCGTAAGGGAGTGGGTGTGATTCCGCCGTTTGGGGGTCGAAGACACGCCGCGACGGTGCTCTATCTCTATCTTTGTCCCTCCAATAGGAGTCCCTCGAACTCTCTCGCCAGTCGTCCCTGTGCCTATCCGTCATGGTTTCCCTCCACTCATATTCGGGGGAGCGTCGTCTCGTCACTTCTCGTCGGCTGCTCGAGGTTCCTGTCTTCAGAGCCTCCTGCGGCTCTGTCACGACCGGCTCACCCATTACGTCGGGCTCTCCGTCATTGGTTTGATCAGCCCATCTCAGCGGTGCTTTCCGCCTAATCCTTTCCTTCAGATCCCTCAGCGCTCGATCGGGCGATGTCTTGTACTCCTTCCTTTCTTCGCCCGTGGTCAGTTGTGGCCCCATCGTGTCTGGTTCCATGGGTCACCTGAAGATGCAGTTGGGCTCTCACGCCGGGCGTTGCAGCCAGGACCTATGACAGTTGCTGCAGCCCGGACCTGTGATAGAACTCGCAGCTCGGATCAGTGATAATTGCAGCAGCCCGGACTTGTTTCCTTATCACGGTTCGCGCTCGTCACCAACCCTAGCTCTCAACTGCCCTGATCACCACCACTAGTACTCGGTTCCGGTCGCGGATCTCGTGCTCTCCTTCTACCCCAATAATCCCTGTGTCATTGGTAAACCTCTCCTTCGGGATCGGTCAACAAGGCCGGGCCTCTCCGGATCTGCAGTACACTCGTGACAGGATCTGTACTCCTGCGGCAGATCGCGGTCCCAAGCCTAACCAGTGTCTCCTGATCAGCACCCCTCAAGAGCCTCCGAGCGTCTATCTCTGTCCTCCTTGTTAGGTCTCCTAGCCCGTCCTAAATCGGGTAGCTCGCTAAATAAGGAAGTTCCCCTCCTACTGCCATCCAAAGTTGCCCGTCGACCTTTCTAGCTTCCACTATTCTTCCAAGAGCTTCCAATCTCTATTTCTCCTCCTCTAACTCCCAGACGGCTATGAGGTCATCTGTCTAGCACCTGAGGTAAGTCAGTGCTATAACCACTCGTAACCTCATCGCCGACAACTCCCGTATGTCATAGAATGTCTCAAAGTCCTCCTTATCCCCACTCTATCCTCTATGGCCTCCAAAGTCCTTATCGATTCCTTCCAGTACCGATCGTGAGCGGCTAGCACCTTGAGTATTGCACCGTCCGTTACAACTCTCCGTAACTCTCCAGCTTTCCTGGCTTCGCTTATCTTCAACCTCTCAGCCTCTTTGGTCGTCTCGTACCATGCCCTTATCCGAGACCGCCCTTCGAAAGGTGTCACTCAGAGGACGTATTTTATCCTTCGTCCTCCTTCTAATCCAATCCAAAGTCCTGTCCCCCTAGCCTCACGCAGCGCACGGCGGACACACTCTGCCTCCTCAACTATGTACAGTCTGGTATGGAGCTGGAGCTCTACGATCACTAACACCAATGGTCCGTCCAGTCTCCCTACCACATGCAATGAGTACCGATCCGTCGTGTGTAGTGCAGTCCCGCTCATGTCTTGTCGCAACCTCCCTGCGTTACCTTGTCCTCGGTTGTCACGCCCTTTGCAGACTTCTCCCCAGTTCCTTCGCGTGATACGCTCCTAGCCTTTACCCTCTCCAGAAAGTCTGATCTCCACGCCTGGATAATCTCTCTTTCCTCCCTAAACGAACTCTCTAACTCTCTCGTCACGAGCTCAGCCCTACTCAACTTGCCCTCATCCTGGCACGACCATATCTCCCTTAACTTGTTCCCCAACTCCTTTACCCGGTTCAAGAGTGACCCTTTAATGCGCTCTTTCACTCTTTCGACTGCCTCACTCTCCTCTTCCATACTCAGTCCTCATCTCTTTCCAGCTCATCCTCTCACCCTCGCTCTAGCCTCCGCTACCGTCTCATCGTGGAAGTGCTCCACATGCATATAACCATGTGACCATATCATCACCTCATAGGAAATCGAGGTCTGAAAGGTCACCCGCGCCTGTACATCAGTTTTATGCTCATTGATCAAATCTCTGGCTCGTTGTAGGCACTCCCTCGCCGTCAAGTCCTCTTCTACGTACGCTCGGAGAAGTACTGTCACAGTGTACCTTATGCTTACCAGTTGCTTTCCTACACGCATCACTGTGGCCGTCCTCCCCGACATTCCCTAAGCTGCGGCCTCGAAGAGAAACCTCACATCCTCTAGCCCCACGTAATCGATCTTCGCTCGTCTCCTGCAGTACCTAATTAGATCGACTGGCCTCAGACAGTCCACCCAACTAGTAACGTCTATGATGTCGTCAAGCGTCTCTCTACTGGGCGGTCCCCACCTCACACAAATGGCGTAGTATACTTCCCTGAAACGGGGCGCTAAGCCCTCCCAGAGCGCATAAAGTGTGTGGTCCACTGCTCTACTCAAACGTTCTATGCTCTCATAGGTTTGCCCTATCACGAAGGTAGGAAGTCCGAATCGCCAATTTTCTCTCGGGTAGAGGGTCGGATGCGGAGGACCGTATACCAAGCGGTTCCAACACGTCCTCCCTCCAGAGAGTCTCGCTAGTTGCTGATTAACGATCACTCTGGCCAACGACTCGCTTCTCCACCAAGCCCTGCTTGCCCCTGCGAACGTCAGTCCTACCTCTAAATCGTGTGCTCTATCCGCTATCAGATGTCCAACCCCTTCTAGATCACGAGTCCTCTCGGGTCGTTCGTCTCTCAGTATCACTGTCCAAAGGAAGAGTCCCTCTGCGAGCCACGTTCCCAGGTATCGTATCGGAACATGCCCTGTCCCCTCTAACGCCACAGGAAGAGGAATGTTGTATCCAACCGCCGTCTCTCTGGGTCTCACTAGCTTCCTCACGCTATATGATTCGGACTCTCGTGAGAGAACATAGGCTAACCAGGCTACCGAGTCACTCCTCATCTCCTCTCCAGCTCTCGATCTGTAGCGCTCTAATCCCTCCGACGCACCCTATCTCTCGATGTTGCCGACTTCTCAGACAACTCTCCCACTCAGATCCAGTATGGCCGAGTAGGTGCTGTGCACTCTCCCGTCGGCTCAATGGAAGTAGATAGGTTACTAGACGTACCTCTGGCCTCTCCGTATCTCCAGGGCATGCTCCGTCATGAGTCTGACCTGTCGCTTAACATTGCCCAACGCTTCATCCTCCCATCCTTCTGTCCTATCTCGTTGTAGGGAAAGAGTCACCCTCAGTATATTCTGGTCTGCCATACTCTCCACTACTCCCTTCTCTAAACTTCACTCGGATATGTCCTGCTTCTAGTCGTCTCATGCATCTGGCATATCCTCGTTTGTATCCTCATCTACCCTCTGTCCCCATGGAATATCTTCCTGTCCCTCGGTCTGAAGGAGATGTCCCCAACCGTCCTTCTGGTCACCCCAAGGGTCTATGTCATCGAACTCCTCCCAATCCCGATCCTCAGCGTACCACGTAAGATCGTCTGCCTCTGGATGTACCTGCCGGTAATACTCCTCAACCTCCCCGGTCAATATGAGATGGCTCGGCTTCTCCTCACGAGTCTCGGCTAACATCTATCCTACTCCAGCTAAATGATCTGTAGGCCTCCGAGCCTCTCTCTCTAGTGTCGTCCAAAAGGCTAGGGGCTGGTACAGAGAGTATAGGGCAGGGCTCCCGGTAGGTACAATGGCCCGCAGGAACTCGATCAACTGGAGCCCTCGCTCGCCTACAAGCGGCCCTGCTACAAACTGCGCATACAACACCCAATCCCTGTCAGTGTACCCTCGGCAGAGGCCGTCCAAGTCAAGAGCCGCAAAGTAGATCTCACCCAGACGTCTAGGTCCCCAAAGCTCCTCCGCCACGAAGCACGGAAGTGTCACACGCTGCTGACTGCTAGGATATGGGAAGTGTCCTCCAATCCTCAAGGTTGTTGTCACTCCCCGAACACCCCCGTGCAGCTGCTCTACCTCGCCCCGCGCGGAGTCTGCTCGGGCCAGTAAAATCCTCCTCGCGCTCTGCTCCTCTCGCCAATGATCGTGCACGATGCCGTGAAAATAGACTGTGGCTAGCACCTCCCGCGAGTAGTAAATGTGGCCCACTACCTCTATACTAGTCGTGCCTGGTCGTCGCCACCTCTGACTGTCTAGCTCAAACGTCTCGATGGCATACGTCCACAAGTGCACGTCTGGGCCCAAGACCGTCGATGACCATCTGCTCTCTATCACATCCGCGGAAACCCCTCTGGCCGGCAGATCTAGTGACACCCTGCCTTGCGCTACTGTCTCCAAAGGCCTAGGCCATCTGGCGTCGTCGATCTGAAGCTCTACTCTACTGACGTGCTCTACCATCGATCCGCTCTCCACTATCCGCCGATATCAGTAGCTAAGGCTCACCCTACGCCCGAGCTGCTACTCCTATCCTAAGGAAATGGGTGTCTGTAACGTCAATCTCCTCCTCGTCAACCTCACTCTCTAGGTCGACCTAGTCTGGCTCCCAGGCGTCCTCGTCGTCCTCTCGCTCCCAACCCTCGTCGTCAAACTCGTCCTCGACGCGGTATGGCGCCTTTCCTATAACCTGGTAGTACTCCGCCAACTGATGGTCGTATATCAGAGGTCGCCCGGCGTCCTCACTCCACCAGCTCCCCCAGTCGTCTGAGAAGAGCCGCCCGATGCAGGTCACGTACTCGGGGCCTACTCGGAGCTCACGGTCTAGCCAATCCCAAACGCACGGAGACTGGGGTCACTCGTCGTCTATCGAACGGATCAGCTCTATAAGCTGAACCCTCTCGTCACCCCAACGAGGCCCACCGGTCGCGAGCGAATAATAGATGTAGTCGAGGTCGACAGACTTTCTCGCCAGGATCTTGAGATCCTGATAGGCTAGGTATGTCTCGACCACTCCACCAATACCTCCAAAGACGCTCTCTACTACGAACGTCGGAACTATCGCCCACAGACTCCTAACGCTGTACGGGAAAAACCCGTCTCGGGCTATCACCAGCTCGCCCGTGATACCTAGAGGAGGGCACCCGTGAAATAGGGTCAACGGGTCGCTCGAGTCCTCCGCTCGGAAGGCAGCTACCTCGTCCCTCAGGTAGCGTAATGCCTTGCTAACCGCGCCACTAGTCTCTGTCGTCGCGAGGCTTAGCACGGCCTCGGTAACCGCGCCCGGTCCTAAGTACAAGTAGGTCCTCACTACGCCCACTCCTTGCCCAGGCTGGTGCACTCTGTGCATCCAAAGCCACACGTCCTCGGGCAGGATTATGGACTTCCACGCAAACAGGCCGTCAATGTGTCGAACGCTGCGCCCAGGGATCGTGAGCTCCACCAGATCCCCTTCTATGAGTTATGGAGGCTCCAAGTCCCAGTCGATGGTGGCCTCATAGACCTCTACTTGCGCTCGCGGCCACATCCAACTAGCGACTAGAGAGAACGTACCGAGAGGGATGGGTAGAGAAGGTGAAAGATGGTAGAAGAAGGCTTGTCGAATCTAAGGAAATTTCGGCAGCGCCTCGCCTCCCTTCGTTGGGAGCCCCGATATCACGCTGTCAATCTATCTCCTAACTATCCAGGGGTCCCCTATGGTGCTACAGGGCAGAGTCCCGACTCTAAAC